CCTAATTTTATTTACATAGAGCCTCTGTAAAGTTACCTACATATGTGGAGTATTGTTAATGAATAATTCCCTCTGGATGTGAACTCAACTTTTCCAGATTCCTAAATCCATCTCCTTCTAAAAAGTTTTACTTTAAATGTGAATGCAGAGATTAATTATAGAGAGGTAAAGTAATTAAGACAATTCCAGCTATTTCTGATGAAGTGCCTTTTACCGTGCCTGTCACAATACTGACTTAAGGTTTTGGAAAGGATCAAGATTTCTGATCCTTCCAAGCAAACATTGGTTGCATCAGTGTTCGTGCTCTGGGCCCATGGAGTTTAACGTTCATTTCTGGAGATGATGATATCTGCAACATTTACGGGAAGGTAATATGCAGGTTAGGTGGCTTTGAAAGCTTGGTATTTTGATACTGTTTTGTCCTACTCTTTAAAGCAAAAATAAGGAGAGAATGTGCTACATGTGGGTAAGTAAGGTGTGCCTATATCACAATTGCAATTTTGACCAAAGCAGGTAGATGTACTTAAATTAGTTTTAGATTAATTACTATGCCACATGGATGGGAGCTTTAACTTCCCTTAGAATCACAGATGAGCTTCTGCAGCCTAAATGTCCATATCTTAATGGGAGGTACCCTAATATCGTTGGTAGCCTCATGGATCTAAGTAAGGTTGATACTGAGTGATAGCAGTTACTGGGGGTGGTATTACTGTGTCCTTTCTAGTGTTTGTCTTTTGTCCTATTCAGTAGCACCAAACCCTGTCCCAGACTGATCCTTCTCTGCCTCTATAGAGAGAACTGCCCCATGTATGGACCTAGTGAGGTTGGTGGATCCTGGGAGAAGAAGAGGCAAAGGAAGCCTGAAGAGGTCTGTTTTCAGCTTGTGCCATACCTTCACCTGTGGGGTGAACTTTCCTAGGCACAAGAAGATCGGATGAATTTGGGAGCAGGTACACTATAGTGAACAGGGAACAGAGAGACACCCGCTCCCACATGTTGCCACCAAAACCTCACCATCTAGCAAAATCCCTGTCTACTGGATCAGAAGTGCCATGCTTATGGGGACAGTCTGTGTCCTAGGAGAATCTGGATGAGGTAGAAATTGAGTCTAGGCAGGCAGTCTTGTGCCCCGGGAGAGTAAGGCTCAGTCTTTCAGCACCACTTTGTGCTTGTGTCCTCTTCCAGGGGATGAAGTCCCCAAAATACAGGTTCCACACTGCCTGCACATCATCCTCACAGGGCAGCTGGTGTTCAGTGAGGGGAAAGGGAGAGAAGTGGTGTCATCTGCAGTCCCACAGCTCTTCCAGTCACCATTTTTGAAAGGTTGTATAATGCCATCATGCTGCTTTGCTGTTGACACAGTGAAATGCTGTTACCACAGCTACTATCATGATATTACTGCTGTCACACTCTCTAGGATAAAACTAACCCAGGTCCATGTGGCCATGGTGCAAACATGCCTCTGGCCTGTGGCATAGACATAGCTTCAGGACGTGGATCTTCTCTCTGTGCAGACACACAGTATGCTGAAATTCCTGGGACATCTCCCATGTCTGTAGCAGTTGAAAGAGCATCTGCATGATCACGGCCAAGATGGTAAACAAAAATCCCGAAAACAGCTGCTCTTCATCTTCTACATGATTGTTTTAACCAAACACAGCCCAAGATGTGTGCTGCGTTAAATCTATTCTGTTGTGAAATAAAGCTGTTAACTTGTTTTTTCTTCTGTTAATAAATGATAAGTCTTATTGCAGAATAATAAATGTTACAGCTGGATAAAGTCTTTATTGCTAAAACATGTAACTACAGCAGTGCAAACCCGCACTGTGCTGACTTTTCATATATTTGTGATTTTATATACAGCAGCTGCTTATCTGACAGGAAAATTAAGGTTGATAACATCTTCCATTTTTCTCTGAATCCATCTCAATTCTGTTGTAATCATAATTTCTGTCGTGTTTATTTGGAGTCAGTTAGAAATGTGGTAACTGGGAAAGAATTGTTAGTGTTATGTTGTGCCCTAGGAGCAATTAAATCAAATCTATCCCTACAAAGGCCAAAGGTGCAAAAGTTTGAAAGAGAAGAAATGGGAGGGAAGTCAGCAGGCTTTCCCATGTGTTCACTGTCCTCACTCAGCTGAAGCCTTTCCTATTCCTGCCATTTCTGAGATTTGGACAAACTGTTTCATGGCACAGCAGGAACAGTAATATTTTACTGTCATCTGTGTGATGAGCAATCTTTATCTTTGCTGTGATAAATTCAGATTACATTAAAGCAAAAATCAAGATAAATCTAAATTTTTTTTCATGGAGAAAGTTAAGCACAGCTGCCGTGACTGTGTTTAAGGCTGTGGTTGTGTATTATATGCTAATGTAGCAGACCCACAGATGACGGATGCATATCAGGCCCTTATTTTTTCCAAGCAATCTCGGGGGCCTTTGATCACTATATGCCACTATATCACAAGTTGAAATGCAAGAATATTAACATATCTTCTTAATTTTCAATGCAAAAGGGTGTGTTAGTGTCATCTTCCCTTCCAGGTTGGTCTGATGCATGAATCTTATCTCTAATCTGACTCATGTCCACATACATAAATCACTCACTGGAATGAAATGGTATTTGGGTTAGCTGGCTGAGCAGAGCAGCTGGGAGGAGGTTAAAAGCTTGAGCACTGCTGACACTTGAGCTGGTGGTACAGGAGGAATACAGCACTCAGGTTACAGCAGCTCATCAGTTGCTAACCCTCTGACTTTGCTGGTCCAATCATTCTGCAACAGCACAATATTATTTAGTGGTCTGATTGCTCTCAGCTTGCTCTCACTAGGGATCTGTCTGTTGTAGTCAGACTGCAGGGTAGGATGTCTTGTGTTAGCTTTACATCAGCTCCTGAGAATCAGATGGCTGTACAGGAATTCAGTGCAAGCTACAAACCCCAACCAGAACTGCACTGCTCTGAGCTCTGGGTGGCTGACATCACACCCAGCTAACCAGCTGGGTAAGGAAATTTCAGTATAGCAGCCCAGTGACAGTTGCAGCCAGAGACTGCAGAGTAAACACACCTTAGACTGGCCTACAAGGAATAACTGGAGATGCCTCTTAGAGTGAGAACATATCCCATGGGTGACTTGGCCACTGGCAGGAGAGGCCAAAATTCGGGCATCAACTCTTGTGGCAGGTTGGAGAATGAGATGGCAGAGGTGAGATTTTAACAAAACATCGGCTGTCGGGACTCTGCTGCCAAGCATTTAAAAGGAGCAAAATAAAATGTCTTAGTATACGAACAAAAAAGCCCCATCCATTCAAATTAGTTTAAAAAAATCCCAGTGCATCTGCCTGGCTAGCTCCACCGGATAACTGCCCTACAAAGGACATTTCAATTTTATTTTTCTTAAATGATGCGTATTTCTACTGATGATGCTTTGGCTCAGCATTGAAGAAGTTATCATCGTGTGCTGTTTGCTTCTTGCTGATGCAGAAAAATGCTGTAGTCCAGGATGTGGCCTGTCTATGGTTAAATTGATATGCTATGGAGTTTGAACCCATTTTTCTTGTAGGAAAAGTTGGGAGATTACTGATCTAGCAGATTTTTTGAATATAGGAAGTTCAGGCTGTTACAGTGACTGCCTAACTGCTTTAGCAAGGAAGGTGCCCGGTCTTGCCTTTGATCATAGAGGGTCAGGATGAGTCCCTTCTCCATGCCAGGCCAGCACCAGAGCATACTCTCCCCCGGCCCCTCACCTGCACCCAGGTTTTGTGGCAAATCTGCAGCCCCGAAGGGAGCAGTGATGTATTCTGGTCCGGCCCCAACCTAGAGCCCTCTGGCAGTGTTCAGACTGTGCTTCCACTTATGTACTGCTTTGACAAATACAAGTCTAAATAAGAGTAGTGTGTGAATTGCTACAATTTGCCTTATCTGTTTTGTTAAACAGGGCAATGTTTATTGTTGTTTGCCATCTTTCTGATTTCACCTTAGTCAAAACATCCACTGAGTTTTTCCTTATTTACAGTAGCAGAAATAATTTTAGAATCAGGATCTATGTATTTCAGTATTTTTTTCAAGACTATATGCCATGAAACATATTTCCGACACCCCTTCTTCCCCCCCCCCCCCAACAAAATGTTAAAACTTAGATGTACTTTTTATCAGTTATGCTATTTATACTCTGAATGTCAATGCAGCTGACAGTGAAGGATAGATAGGTTCTGTATTGATTGTATTTTCTGGCATTCTTACTTTATGGCAGTGGTATAGTATGAGGGATACAGAATTCAGAAGGAGGTATAGTCAACTTTGTGATGGGATGTAGTTTTAATGAAAGGCGGTTTTTAACCAACCCATCCTATACAAAGAACAGCTCCATTCCTTTCACCAAGGAATATGTTTGTTTCTTCATTGAAAGCTAGTCTAAAAAGAAAGAAAAATAGTGTGTTAGTTTATTTCTTCTTTAAACTGTAAGAAAAAACCACTGGAATATTTGTTTGCATTTAACAATAACTTTTTATTACTTTAAAATTTCAAATTTCTGTGCTCTGGAAATTCTGTGTATGATTGAGAACAGCGGGATGATTATACATAGATGATGAACTTTAAAGGGAATTACTCTGATGCAGACCATTTAATTGGGTTTCTGAAGCCAAGCACCTACTTGACTCAGGTCCTAGTGAAGAAAAGTACCTACTAGAAAGATGCAACAACATCCTGCTCTTTTAGATGTGGCCAAGGCTGCTCTGAGCTCAAATGACTGCATTGAAGAATCAAGAGATGTTTGCGTCAAAAGTTTGAATGACTTCGTGCTTAGAACCACTCCAGAAGAAAGAGCAAAGGGTGGGAAATGACATTTTTAACAACTCGCTTTCATCTTCTCTAGGTTACTGGACCAGGCAATTTTTTCTCTTCCTATTGTCCTGATGGATTTCAATGATCAAGGGAGAAGAAAGGCTCAAAATACACTGTTGAATCTAACTTTTATGTGTTATTTGCTTGCTTGTTTAACTAGGGACAGGGGGCCCTGTCTGAGAGACTAAGGAGCTTTAGCATGCAGGATCTCTCGACGATTCGTGGAGACAGCAGCAGCACTGTTCCTCCTTCAGTCACTGTACGAACAAGTAGCAAACAGAACCAGCCAAAAACATCGAGAAGTGCATCAGAAGGCACTGGCAGCTCAGGTAGGTGCCAGCATTATTTTCAGTGTTGTGTTGTCTGGAATATCACACAGTTGAATGAAGTCATGCAGTTGGCAGGAATATATAGAAACAGACATTGCAGGCAGCACATACCAGAATTCACAGGACACAGACGTGCTGTTGAGTCTCTTGGCGCTTAGGAGAAAAAACAGTATCATCGTTTGAAGGTTGCTATTCCTGGCTAGTACCAAGGACGGGACTTGAGCATGCAAGGAAGCCAGCATCAGTCCTTGCAATTTGAGCTGAAAAGTTAAGCTCTGGACTGGGAGCGGTAAGCTGTGGTGGGTTTTCAATGAGAGGAGCTAATGGAAGTGCAAAAAGAGGGGATAAGAATCCACAGTAGTGGGCGAGGGTCATTGTTATCATCAGAGCCACCATATGGTGATACAGCCTCTCTCTCTATGTCTTCTAAACATAAATGTAAGTTCCAGTGGATTTGAATTAGGCCCACTTGTGCTGCTTCTAAAATGTGTGGTAGCTGTTTACAACACCTGACAGTTGCACTTCCAGAACTTTAGCACTGATGAAGCCTATTGAGATATAAAACCCGTATAAAGCACTTCTAGAAGCAGAGACCAAGATCTGACAGCTGTTTATGATACGAAGGATATCTGCATAAGCACTGTTACGGAAAACGAGACTCTCTGAAAGGTAATGGTTTGTTTTCAAATTCTGAAAGAACAAAGGGAAGAAACATCGTGGTGGGAATAAGTTCCATTGCTGAGGATTTAGTTACCAAAATTTATTTCAGGCTTGGTTAAAGAAATCTTCGTGGGCTCAGATCTAAAGCATTTGCTTGTAGATAGCTTTGCAGTTTATTTCCCCAAAATTGAGACATGGAGGTTTATCCCAAACAGGGGGTTCCAGATGGCTTCTGGGATTCCCAAACATCACCAGAGATCATGCAACTTGACTGCTGTGGTGGGAAGCCACAGAAAGTTGCAGGCGTGTTGCACTTGGTAGCTTGTGAAACATATGCTGGCAAATTTGAAATTTAGCAGTTTCAGCTTGTGTGTGTTGAGGTCTGTGCAAACATTCACTATGTTTCAAGCCTGTGTAGATTGCTACCCATTCTAGTTTGCTTCAGTTTTGGAATGTATTAGAAATGTCATCTCATTCTTCCTAAAGAATATCCTTCAGGCCCTCTACAAACCCTGCAAATTATAGCTCACAGACTTATCTAATTTTTTTTAACATCACCAGTTGAATAAATTTTCTTTTCAGGTAAACTGATATAGCTAGTGTTATGTGCAGTGGATTTATTCTAATGTTTATGTATTTACGATCTTGTATACACTCTCTTGAAGTTATCAATCTGCAAGTAAATTGTTCACACACAGAATATAAAACTCTTACTCCCCCCCCCCCAAAAAAAAAAATTACATATTTAGACCAAAATAACAAATATCACAAATGAAGGATAATTTAGTTATCTTAATTTCATGTTGTGTAGAGCAGCCTTTGTAGTTTTGTTCTTAAGGCAGCAAACTCAGCTCACCTGGCCAACAAATCCCTGTCTTAATACATAAAAGTTTTTGATTTTGATCTTGTTTTGTATCAATACTGTGCAAGGATCTCCCAAAATGAGTCTCTGTAAAATTGAATTGTTCGTAAACTTTTCAAAACGAGCCTAGTATTCATCACAAATTTTTGGATCCTAGTAATTTGAGATTTTGTTTATAATTATTTCAATGGAAACAACACAAATTTGCAAAATCTTCCAAGACCTTTATCTGTCTCATTTCACCTAGTGATTTTGCTGAGGTCCCTAATCTAGGAGCCTTCTTGCAGGCCCCTTCTCCACCTGCAGACAATGTGGAGAGGCACGTCCAGAGGGTGATTTCACTCACAGGTGGTGGCATTATGCTGTGCGTAAAACTGTGGCCACAGTTTTGTTCTCACTTTTAAGCAGATTAAGTGAAAGATATGGTCCTGGTCTCTCCAGTCCTTGCACTGTTTTGTGTGGGCACAATTATGTTTGTAGTCAGAATGTCTAGAGAGCCAAATTGATCAGAGTCGTAACTATTGTGTGTGTGTATATGGCAGAATGATCTCTCAGCCAGACTGTATGGTCTTGAGGACCATATTCAGGGTGCTGTAAGCACACCAAGCCCAGGTGTGGTTCTGTCACTCCACCTTGTGTATTTGTTTAGTTGGAGTGTTGCACGTAAGCAAAGGGCAGACAGAATTTGCTACAGCCTGTTAGTATGCTATATATACATGTAATACCTATATGAGTATGCCTATGAGCAGTTACTACAGAACAGCTGACACACAGCTCTTTTTCCTGTCCCAAAGCCCTCAGGTAACACAAATGTCTGTGTTGGTGGTCCCCACTGCCTCAGAAACATTAGACTTCTCTTCATATTCCTGCTTTAAAGATAATGAGATATAGTCTGACATCATACGGAGTCAGCAAAAATACCCCAGATTGTGTGTTTGACGTGAGGATGACTCAGCCAAAGACCTCACCTTTCTTGTAAAAGGTCTTTCTAACCAGCTCTTAAAAAGCCTAATAGGAGTAGCGGGGATCCACGAAACAACTTTAAGAACATTAATAGAGAGTCTGACCGGGGCTGCAAACATTGTACCCTTGGTTAGAATAGAAATCCTGCTTTGTGAGGACTTTTACGAAAGGCTGGAGTGAACAGGTCCTGTGTCTGCAGAAGAAGCAGTGTGGTGGTTAGGAGGCAAGACTGTGAGTTAGGACACACGAATTCACACCCCTCTTTTGCAAAATACTGGTATGACCTGGAGCATACCTTTGTTCCTCAGTGTGTCTGTAAAACAGAAGAAATTGTACTTCCCATGACCAGGCCCTGAAAGCCATATGTGGTAGAAGATGCTTGTGTATTTTAAGGTCAATACCTTAGATTTCTTATGTGGCTTTCTTGTACACCCTACTTCAGCGATTATAACATGTAAATACCTGTGGAAAAGTGCTGCCTATGGATTGATCCCAGTTGTGCAAAAAGATTTCTCTGTTTCTAGTAACAGTTCTCTATCTTGCCACTACCTCTGAGAAGTTTTTGGACAACTGAAATGTCCCTTTTATCGTTTCCCTCCTTTTATTCTGTCCTTTGTTCCCCAGTTCAGGCATCTAAGAAGCTGAACATGGGTATGCTGGGATCTTGATAACTTGCTGACCTGGGTGCTGCTCTTATAGCCATTCTGCCATATGTTCATTCAGGTGCTTCCACTCCCACCCATTTCCCTACATCTTCCATCCGTACCAACCTATTACAGTCCTGTGGAAGTGCAGCTCTCAAAGTCACTGCCTGAGTTTACAAATGATCAGTAACTGTGGCAGAGGCAGGAACCTGAAGAGTTATTTTGGCTGGATATGTTGAGTGCTGCTGCACATGGGGTTTACCTGAAGAAGGGAGCATTGCTACTCCACGGCCAGTCTTACAGGTGGAGAAGCCAAGCACTGCTGTAGCAGTTGTAACTTTATTTGCTTTGGGACTGGCATCCCCATGCCTGGGAGTGTGTGTGAGCATCACTCAGTCCTTCGGGGGTCACAGTCTTTGGTGAAGGAGTATGTATACAGATTGCCTATGGGTGTGCTTTTATAGCTCCCTTTATTTCTCTTATATGGCTGTCAGAGATGCATAAAGGCTGAAGGATGCACTTTCCATCTAGCACAGAGTCTTAATTTTCTCAACAGGAGAAATGGCCATGTCAAAGAGAGAATAGCAGCCTTATGATAATGAGATGTCAAGTACTACCCTCAGGTGAAGGAACAGCCTAACTATGGTCACTCAAATTGTCTGGCACTAAAGAGCTGTGGATGCGGAAAGAAATCCTGAAAATGGCGTAGCTGCGCTCCTAAGGCAGCTGACCCACCCTGGAGAAACCAGGAGTTATTTTCTTATGCTGCCAGGTTTTCACAGCAAAACCTGCTGGCACACGGGGAGCTGCCCTGCTGCTCTTGGTCTCAGTTTGTGGCAGTCGCTGAGCTGTGAATCAGTGAATGGTGGGAGCATGTCCCGAGGAAACACTGCTGTTGCTTACCCTCTTATTATATGCTGCCCTCCAAAGTTGCTGCCAGCTATTGCCAGTGACAGGTGACAGACCTGACCAGACCTTTCATCTCATCTGGCACTGCTGTTCTTAGTTTCTTGAGTGTTCACTTTTATATTCACATGCCCATATTTTTTCTTGTTGGTTAAATCAGCTTAAGGGGACTTGTGGGACCTAAGTTAAATTAGTATTTGATCCAAACAGTACTTTCTTTTACTATTTTTGAGGGATTATTTTTACCTCAGATCAATTTGCTGATCTGCCTTACTGGGAGCCTCCAAAATAACTTTTCAGAGAGCTTTGGGGACGTATGTTATGAGATCAAATGGCCAGAAGCTAGAAGCTCCTCAAGCCAGATTTCCTACTGAACAAATGGAATCACACCCTTACTGTAAGGCAAAGACAAGAGATGGCTCTTCAGGTCAAGGTTACAGGAGTAGATGCATCCCATTCCCTGAGCAATGGAAACAGTCAGATCTGGTGTGGAACTTTTTGTTGCTTGATTCCAATCCTGTTGTGTGACTGTGTTTAAGAGCAGATACAATATCTGAAAGGAAGTGATTTGGAATGACATGGGGTGGAGAAGGGTCTGTTGTCTTCTCTGTACAGATGAGACTGCCGAAACTCAGATTTGTTGGTATGAACCCCCCCACTCCCCCTGTGAGCACCAGGAGTGATTTGGGTTCTGGTTTCCCGTCTCTTTGGCATGCTTCCAAGTGCACTGAACCTTGTAGAAAGACTCTTCTGACATCAGTGGGCTTTGACTCTGGCCAAAATCTGGCTGCAGGAGCATGCTATGCTCAGGCTATATTAAATAACTGCTCAGCTTTTTTCATTTCCATTGTTGTTACTTTTTAACGTGACTAGTGCTGGTTAGATGGATTTGTGACTCTCTCAACCCCCTCTTGACATAAGCACTGTGTGAAGAGCGTGGCATTTAGTTAGGAACAGCCACATGC